CATCTCGCATGTGTGTGAATGTTAACATGACAGTATGCTTGCCATGCGGCTTTGTCGGGACATGAGATAAATTGCTTGAATGCCTGTGGGTGGAGGTCAAATTACCTAAATTGGGATAACACGTTAAAACTGTGAATTTTAAAGCCCACTTGAGGGTGGCAAAATCTGTATTTTAGCCTACTTTGCGAGTAGCAAACCATTTTCGAAACAAACATGACACGTTTTGTTCCAGTTTAGGCGATTTGGTCTATACTTGTTTGCTGTGTGCATAACATAGTAATTCTAGGCTAATAACCAGTTTAAGAACACATAAAGTTTTCAAAAATGGATATCACGGTTAGTAGAGGCCGGTCTTCGGACCGGGCGAAAGGGGGTGCTCATAGCTGACCTTCCCCGATCGTACCCAAGCTCCCGAGCCGAGACAACTCCGGTGATGACGGACATGTGGCCTTCGGCACCGAGTCAGGGTTTCCTAAATTTCCCCATTTTAAAATATTTAGGTGGCGACTCTGTATCTGGCAAAGCAGTCCATGTTTGGCACTACTTTTTCAAAAATCTGTTTCTCAAAACGATTTTCCAGATTTGGACTCTTTGGTTCAGATTAAGAACCGTGACACAAATCGAGTCCGAACTGTAGCATGAGGCCCACGCGGGCGCTGTTACAGTAGTCATATGTGATTGCAAGGAACTATGAATATCAACTGAAACTTTAATTATCGGGTCTATATTTCATAGCTTACAATGATCCTGGATTTCTGGTCTTTTATTTTTTGAAACCTGGATTCCATAGTGAAAAGCCGAAGGCTTTAAACGTAATCTGGTGGCAATATGTGTTGAACTATCTTAAATTCTGTTGCATATCATCATAGCAAATCATTATTGATTGAAAATATCTCAGCTTTCTATCCATGTTAAATTTCTGTTTAGCCACAAAATCTTAGCACTGCATTTACTTCTTTATCATTGAAATCTTATGTATCCTGAAGTCTTCAGTATTTATGCTATCACAGAATTCTATTCCACTTCAGAGAGTCAAATATTGTAGGCACTGCAAGGCATATGTAAAGGGGTTCGACCGTCATTGTCCTACTTTTGGAAACTGTATAGGTAATGACAACATGCGGGTTATAGTTCTTTACATTTTTAATTACTTCAGACAACAAAAACTGATGTGTTTTTCGTTCTTATTAAACTAGTCTTGGATTTGGTACAACAATGGGTCTTGCTGTCTTTGTGGATGTGACATTGATATCCTTTTAATGCAGGTCAAAAAAATCATGTCCTCTTCATAATCCTCCTTTTTGGGTTTGTTTTTACTGAGGCTTTGTATGTAGAATGCTCATCTCAATGTAAGCTTGAATATATTGGATACTGACCTGCATTAGTTTCAACAATTTATTTTGTTGGTGAAATTAATTATGCTAATTATTAATTTCAAGAGGATTCACATTTGCTGTATATCACTTGAACATAAAAAGGCATCCTCAAGTTGGATAAGCCTCTAGGAAATTGGCTCAAGTTTACTGTCTGAATACTCGAAGTTATGCTTATTTATGGTGACTGGATAAGGCCATAAATTGTGAATACTACTGCCTATCATCTTTCCATTCATATGATGCTTACTTCTTTTTATGCCTTTGTTTAGAATCAGTTAGTATTCAGATCTGAACAATGAGGAAGAACTTTTTGTAATTGCTGTGAACAATCATTTCATTTTTACTCGAGTAGGAAACTGTTCATTAAAATAAAATGGAAATAAGGAAGGTAGTGGTGTTTGCTTCTAATACAACTGGTTGAGCCATGCCTTATTTAATTAGCAATGCTAGAGTTGTTGTGATTTTCGACACCCAAAATTTCAGTTTAGTTTAATTATATTTCAAAGCTTGATAGGCATAAGTAATATGAACTAGTAGGTGTTTGAATTGTGACATGAGTGCCCCATTTATAGTACATATTTTAGAATAATTTGGTTTAGTAGTTTAAACTTTATGTCCAATGTGATGTGCCCATTGTAGTAAGACTTGTCTTATGCTGAAAAATGTATATATCACAGTTGGTTGCTGTTACGTCTAATTGTGTACGTGAACAAAATTTTTATTTTTTCTCTTTTAGGTTGCATATTAACATGTTTAGTGAATAGTTATCTTAACCTTTTGTTGTTGTTTTTTTTATTTTTTATTTTTTAAATGGCAAATTGGAGATGAACGAATTTGGTAGCTTGCATAGCAAGAGTTTTTTGTTGATATTACCAGACACATCCATCACAGTGTAGTTGTACTTTTTGTTGATATTACCAAACATGTATTTTGACTATGTTGTTGTGGGTTATGATTATATTGTGATGGATCTTATTTTTTTCCTGATATTTTATTGAATAGATTAAAATGAACAGGTTTTTGTTGATGTTACCAAATGAACTGGTTTTTGTAATGATTTGTAATGGATATTATATTTAGCAGGTTATTAAAATGCACAAGTTATTTTGATTGTGTTGAAGTTTTTGATTTTACTAGAATAGATGTTATAGTTTGGATGTTATATATTAATTTCTTGATATTATGAGACATGTATTTTGCTTGGGTTGTTTTATGATAATGAACAGTTTAATTTTATATTGATTTGTATTAAGTATTTTATTTAATAGATTATTAAAATGTACAAGTATTGTTTATTGAAAAAAATATATAAATTACAAATATAACCCTCTCCTCAATTTTTAAAATTTATTTATTATTGGCAACGAAAAAAAATTGACACTAAAACTTTCTAATCCCAACAAATAATTTCGTCACACATATTCACTATTTCATCACTAAATTAAAATATTTGTTGACAAAACTTTTCGTCACTGAAGGGTCTTTTTTTTTCATCTTTTGGTGACGATATTTTTGTCACTAAAAATTTTATCGCTATTTTTAATGACGAAATATTTTGTCACTCAAAACAAATATAATAAAATTTTATTTAATTTTAGTGACGAAATGAACGTTATAGGTGACAAAATATTTAACATTTAGGGACGAAATATTTAACATTTAGTGACGAAATATTTCGTCACCAAATACCAATAATAGGTGACAAAATAAATTTTCATCATCAGGTACTTTTAGTGACGACGAATTGATGACGAACGTGGTGACGAAATTATTTCGTCACGGATCAATTTGGTGACGAAAATTTCACTATTGGTGACGAAATTACCCCTTGCGCTTAAGTGTACTCGCTCGAGCGAGAGAGTCTTCGCTCGAGCAACCTGTCACTGGGTATTATGTGTT